TACTGATCAGTACCTACTTCATCTCCGTGGGATACATGTGTGAATCTCAGCATGCTAAATTCTTAAGGATCGATTTGCTCTGCATTTTCTGATTCACAGAACATAGCCCATTTAACTTTGGAGTACTATAATTCAACTTGCTCGATTAGCAGAGGGGCACAGCATGTGAAATAATATAGCACATGGTTGTAACTCAAAACTAGATCGAAAATGCTGATGTGGTTCGAGATTAAACATTCAGAGTCAGAAAACAGGTCCCTTTATTTTGCACAGCAGTAACAACAGTTTGATTCCCTTCTTACGGCTTGATTAATAACTGTGGATTTGTTCTAATTATAAAATACTTCATCAACAGGGATATTACCACAACATTTCCAAGCTTTGTCTTCAACTCTCAGGTCGAGGATGCTTGAGAATCCAGTTTCTAGGTTACCACTGAAGCTTGTGAAAGGCCACGGCAGACCATGTCGTAGGTGGACCTTGTGTATTTTTATTTCTTTATTCCTTTTTGGCGATATCCTTCTTGTGCTTGGAACAATTCTTGTAATTTTTTCACTTCTTTAAAATGTGAATTCCCAGCAATCTCCTCGTGTGAGGGCTCTTCTTTTGTATATACCCGAGTATAATCTAGAATTAACTGTTCCTTATGTATAAACGCTCTTCACATACCTAGTTGCCCATGCGAGTAGCAACTGATAAGCAGCAGTTATATTTTATCGTTCTACTGTTTCGTTCGTTCATTTGGTTCTTGTGGTGTTGCTTGTTACTCCCGTGCCATCGTTCAGTTTTGGTGGCTGCATAGCTGGAAGCTTTTCTTTCTTTAAGGTGAAATATACGTTACGACTTTGGTCACGCCTTGATATTCTTCAGGTGAAGCTTTGTCCTTTTCATCTTTTACTTTGCACATTTACATTGTTTAGCATGCCTTGTCCGAAGCAAGTGCCTGCATAGGGCGTTTGTGTTGACATGATTGCTCTTCCTATGTGCGGTGATAATTGCCCATCCTTATGTTTCTTGGTCTTAACATGGCCGTTGGTCATGGTTGGTTACGGTGGTAAGAACCGGTGTGTACATCTGAAGTCAACCTTAGAGCATCTATAGCCGGACTGTGCAAATCCGCACCCCTAAACGTCTGCGGACGTGTCCCCGGATAGCTTGCTTCTCATTTGTCCTCCCGAGCAAGCACACCCTATTGAAACCCTTGAATCCAAAGCACACCCCTCATATTGAAACCCTTGAATCCATGCAGGTCCATCATATATCATAAATTCATCACCAAATTAGCAATGCAAAAATGGATGCAAAATAAAGCACAATTCAACACATGTCAAAAGAAAATATGACAATTAATAAACAAGTGATACAAGAATGAATCATTCGGTGTTTGTATTGCGCTTGTTCCTCTTTCGTCTCAAGTCACTTGTTGCCTTTGGGATCCAAGAGGGAAGTGTTGGGCAACATGATCTTCGAATCCTCCGTGTCCCGGGCTAGTTGCAACCTCTCTTTCTCGAGCTCAATTGATCCAAAAGTCTTTGCCTTCTCCAACTCCTATTTGACATACGCCTCCTCCAAGTCGATTCTCCTTCTGAAGCTGCAACTTATTGTTCATCCTCTCCTGCTCCTAACCATCTTTTATTTTTGCGCATCCAAGAAGAGCTTTCTATCTCCCTTCCTTCTTCTCCTCCTTAGTGGAGAAAATGCTCGTCCATGTGGGGGACATTTTGCTCATTGTGGCGTCACGCACGGCCCTAACCTTCTCCCACTTGTTTTCCATCACTTAGCGGTTCATGTTTGGCACGATGGCTAGGACCTCCTCCCCTCCACCTTCCTCATCTTTGTCATCCAATCCAATAGACAGTTGGGAGCTTGAGCCATCGTTTTTCTTCAAATTCTTGTTGTTGTTCTCGAGGTCATCGATGAGTTGTTGCCACTTTGGTTTCTGTAGGATCGCAAGTAGGTCTAGAGAGAGGGGGGGGGGTGATTAAATTACTTGACCAAATAAAACTTAGCTTTTTCCCAATTTTAGTTCTTGGCAACTTTCAACAATTCACACAAGTTAAGCAACACCCTACACATGCAAGTCTAGATAGTAGGTAGCGGAAAATAAAGACTTTGCATATGAACGTAAAGGAGGGGATTGGAGATATCAAACGCAATGAAGACACGGAGATTTTTGGCATGGTTCCGATAGGTGCTATCGTACATCCACGTTGATGGAGACTTCAACCCACGGGGTAACGGCTACGTGAGTCCACAGATGGCTCCACCCACGAAGGGTCCACTAAGAAGCAACTTTGTATATGCCATCATGGCTTACGTCCACGAAGGACTAGCCTCACTTAGGTAGATCTTCATGAAGTAGGCGATCTCCTTGCCCTTACAAACTCTTGGTTCAACTCCACAAGCTTTGGAGGCTCCCAACTGACACATAACCAATCTAGGAGACACCACTCTCCAAAAGGTAATAAATGTTGTTGTTGATGATGACCTCTTTGCTCTTGTGCTTCAAAAGATAGTCTCCTCAAAACTCAGCCACTCTCCCACAGATTTGGCATGCATGGTGTTGGGAGAAGGATTGGAGTGGAAATCAACTTGAGGGGGCTAGAAATCAAGGATCAAGTGATTGGAGTGGAATTCCTTGATCTCAACACAAGTGTAGGTGGTTCTCTCTCAGAAAATGGACATGGGAAGTGGTGGCTTCATCCTGGTTGCTCTCTCTGAGAGTAGGTGGTGTGGGTGGGGTATATATAGCTATCACCAAAGATCTAGCCGTTACACACCTTTATGCACAACTTGGTGGAACCGGGTGAAAAACTTGGTGGGACCGACTAATGTAAAAGGTTTGAACTTTAGACGCTTCTGTGAGACCGGATGAATCCACTTAGTGGGACCGATTAGTGATGACCTAAGAACTTTCAAAATCCTCGTAATTCCAATCGTTTTCACTCGGTAATTCTGAAATGAACACAATGAGTTACAGAGAGTTGGCACACACATTTTGGTGGGACCGAGTGGCATCTTAGTGAGACCGAGTTTGTAGGGTTTAGGCAGCGGCTCTGTCCAGTGTATCTCGATGGGTCCGGATGTAAGTGTTTCAGTGGGACCGTTAACTTTAGGGTTTTGGACAAATTGGATTGTGAGGGTGTGGCTGGGGTTTTTGGAGCAATATCTTCAAGAACTTGAGTAAATGAATCAATAATTGCTGCCCTTTTGCTCAGTTCCACATATAGGGCCAATGCTTGTGGCCAACCAAACTTCACACAAGAAAACATCATGCTTGCTTGTCGGACCTCTTGTCTTTGGTATCTTTTTTTTCTGTTTACGAGTGGTCGGTGTTTACCCAACATCATATGTAGGAGAGTTGATATCCCCCAAGTCATAATGCATAGGCTCTTGACCATCATTGATCATGTCCGTCATGATAGCCCCCCTAAAATGATCATGATCACTAATAATGTATGCAACAAAAAGATTTGATGGCATATGCAATGCTAAAATGATTCAATGGCATATGCATCCCTAAACTGATTCAATGGCATATTGAACAAGCAGACGAATAAATAGAAAGAGGGGCAAAAATTATACCGTGTCTTGCTCCATCATTTCATTGAACAAGACCTGGGAAGATCCGGAGTCAGCGATTCCCGAAGCTATTCTCGCCCATTCGAGTTGCGACGAGTCATACACCACCTCTAGTGCCTCCTGTTGCGTCCAGCCATGCGTAACTAGCCAATCGTCTGGCCGAACGGAGTCGGTCATGACCAGGGCGGATGACACCTTCCTTCTAGGCGGCGGAGTGGATGCGAACTTGATCGCGACCGGAGTGGACGCATCCATGTCGGCGTCGACCACCTCCTTGTCTGTAGCATCCTTCATCGCAGCTTCCCACTCGCGCCGCTTTCTTTGCCGCTCCCTCCAGGTGAAGTACTTCGCCTTGCAACTCACCCTCATGACGGGCCCACCATGGACAACACTGATGCATCATCTATGTCGTTGGGGGAAGGGGATGGGGTACTCAGCGATGGCATATACGATGGCTCAGATGCGGGCAACAAGGGTGGACAATGATGATGTCTCGGATGCGGGAAACGGCGGACAGTTGCGAGAGGAGGGCGACTGATTTTGGTGGAATAGGTCAATTTGGAGGGATTTGGCGTGGGTCCGGTCTATCGAATCTGACGTGGCGGACGCGTTCGAGGTGCCCAGACCTCCCCATATCCGCCCCAGATATGGGCTAGTTTGAGGGGTACTAGACAACGCAAACATATAGGGCCGGCTTGAGGGGTGATTTCAGGGGTCTGGCTATAGATGTTCTTAAGGTATGATCCACCCAATATTGTTTAGCAAGCTGAAAATATTCCCAATGCACTCGAGTGCTTAAGACTCCTTTGGGCCAGCTGGAGTCCATGTGTGAATTGTTTTCCTTTTCTCTCTCTTCAACCATTCAGATTCATGATTTTGCATTTACATGAAGAGGAGAGAGAAGTACTTGTTTTCTATGTGCTATGGGTTGGTCTTAGTGCAAAGTTCGGTCTTAAAAGTCAAAACTTTGCAAACTTGACCAATTTTATGGTATCTTCAATGTGAAAAGACATGGATCTTATAAGCCCAAAAATAGACTTTTTACCCAGCCTCAAGCATTATCAGAAGGGTTCTTAGCAACAAAATCTTAAGACTGGGTCATAGTTCTAAGACCAGGTAATAAGGAATTTAAAAACAATTTCTATTAAGCATGTGGGCTCCACCCTAAGACTCATAGGGGTATTGAGCATTGAAGAATTCTTGTTTGCTTTAGCACATTGAGTGGGGCCTATTCATTCGTCAGTAAAGTTTCTACATATAGAATCTTTTTTGCATGGATAGAATATTAAATGCATATATACATCATTAGACATTTTCTCATGTTTTATATATTTAGTTTTTATTGATATAGATAGTTTCTTTATAATCTTGATCAGGTGAACGAATCTTGACTTTTGAAACATTTGTGTGCACTTTATTATGAAACAAAACTTCACAAACATTTTTAGCCCACCTTTTTGCATTATAAATAATCTCTCCAGACGACCTCAATGTTCTAACTCATTCCGGAAATTGTTTTGAGCTATAATTAACAATCAATTCAATGCACTACTAGTCAAAACTAGTTAAGATCAAGCAATCACAAGCAAATTGCAAAATATCTAATAGTTCAAATCCCAAAACATGGAAAATTTGGGATGTAAGGGAATCTCCTACTCTGACCCTCAAATCGCCCGCAAAAGTTTGGGCCGAGACATATGGATGTTTTTTGCCATCCACAGCGGTGCCCAAAACATCTGTGGACGTGTTCGCTCGCCCTAATTCTCACAAAATTGTTTTGAGAGGGAGAGGGGGGTTGCGGGCGTCCAGACTTTGTGCCACGCTCGGCTTC